AAGGCCAAATAAAGTAGTTTCGCTTTCACAACGAAACACAGCATCTCCATGGCATGGCGGCAACAACAATACTACAGCGAGAATAAAAGTTACGCCTTCTTTCTTTGCGTGAACATTTGGGCGGCGTTATGCAAATCTTCCCACATCGTGATGTAGACATGTGGGGACGTGTTAGAACGAGCCATTTTAGATAGGCGTGTTTGACTCTTAACTTTTATAAATAATATCTCTTTGGATTTGAGACTTTAGTCCTTGCAACTTTACAAATCTTCTTGATGCACCAAGAGCTAGCACTTCAAAGAGAAAGGAAAAATTGAAATCGCAATAAAACTGCGTAAAACAGCATAAAACTTTATTCAAATTTCACAATGTGCACTCCTCAGCGACCAGCACGGATCAGCTCTAGGCATGATGAAACAGATATCGTCCTCTTATGGAAGGCCAAATAAAGTAGTTTCGCTTTCACAACGAAACACAGCATCTCCATGGCATGGCGGCAACAACAATACTACAGCGAGAATAAAAGTTACGCCTTCTTTCTTTGCGTGAACATTTGGGCGGCGTTATGCAAATCTTCCCACATCGTGATGTAGACATGTGGGGACGTGTTAGAACGAGCCATTTTAGATAGGCGTGTTTGACTCTTAACTTTTATAAATAATATCTCTTTGGATTTGAGACTTTAGTCCTTGCAACTTTACAGATCTTCTTGATGCACCAAGAGCTAGCACTTCAAAGAGAAAGGAAAAATTGAAATCGCAATAAAACTGCGTAAAACAGCATAAAACTTTATTCAAATTTCACAATGTGCACTTTGTCATTTGTAATACATATGTTTAGGATCTCATCCATATGATGTTCATCTGATGTTCACTACTGTTATGAATATTATACATAACTTTTTAATAAACAAGGGAAATTCCCAATATTAAACAAATTTACATGCTTAGGATGTTTGTGTTGTAAGAATGTACAGGAATGCTTAAGATATAAGAACACTGACTTGTTAGGTGATGTTTTCTCATTATCATCGTACGATTGCCTATTAATTCAACAGAATCAATGTACATATGGAAATAATATATAGCAATATGGCGGCTTCACTTCTATGATGTCATGAGCAATCTAGTTCTCTATTATAGATCAGTGGTTGAAACTTATAATAATGTATTACTACAGTCATGTGAACTTAACAGACACATGCACACAGCAGCCATAAAGTCCTCAAGACACATCAGATTTGAGCCCCAAGGCTTGTTTAATACCAGGTTCAGATACCCATCCTTTCTTACAAGAGAAGCAAATAATGATCAGTTGCAAAGCTACATGACAGTATTTCTTGCATCTGCGTTTTCTGAATACACCATGTGGAAGAATAACTAGTCATTTAAAAAAACAACACTGAAGAAAAAGGTTACAAAATAAATCTGTCTCTCTTAAAAGTGTTACAGCCTCTTCAGCTTCCTGAACACGAACAGTTTGTAAAAAGCTTCTACTTTCCCTTGATAAAAGAGAAAGCAAACTACAAGTGATACATATGCATAAGACAAATGAACATAATATGAATCTCATATGAAAGCACAATTAAATAATTTATATCATGACACAAAATGATACACAATAATACATCTTTTTGACATTGTTCTTTGGGGAGGAACTCCATCGAGTTGATTAAATCTCATAGTTGAATCTGCAGGTTTTGAAGATGAAGATAAACTTTATTCATTGTGAAACTTTATATGTTTCTTTGTCATGTCACTTTTAATGTCTGGTTAGGACAGATTTATCCAGACTATATTTTATTGCTTGATGCAATATTGGGTCACATTTGATGACGCAACATCAGACCTGAAAGTGCTGGATCTGAAGATGATCTACTTCCTGTGATTATTTTTTGTATGTCTGTGTAGAGCAGATGAATTATTGAAACAATTCCCACATGCAGTGCAGTGATACGGCTTCTCTCCAGTGTGGATCCTCTCATGTATTTTCAGGACTCCTGACCAACTGAATCTCTTGTCACAGTGTGAACTCTTGTAAGGTTTTTCTCCAGTGTGAATCCTCTCATGCAGTTTTAAACTGCTCGCTGAAGTGAAAGTTTTTTCACACTCAAAGCACATGTACTCTTTCACACCAGTATGTGTTTTCTGATGTACTTTCAAATACTGTAGACGTGAAAAACTCTTTCCACACAAATTACATGAATGTGGCTTCTCCTTTGTATGAACTTTCAAGTGTTTCTTCAGGACTGAAGCCCACATAAATGTTTTGCCGCATTGATCACATGTGTGCAGCTTCTCTCTAGTGTGGATGTTCATGTGTACGTTAAGGCTTGATGATCGTGTAAAACTCTTCCCACATTGATCACAAGCGAACGGTTTCTGTCCAGTATGAACTCTCATATGTACCGTAAGGCTTCCTTTTATTGTGAAACTCTTCCCGCACTGATCACATGTGTGCAGTTTTTCACCAGTGTGGATCCTTTCATGCATTTTTAGGTCTCCTGACCGACTGAATCTCTTGTCACAGTGTGAACACTTAAGGTTTTTCTCCAGTGTGAATCCTCTCGTGCAGTTTTAACCCGTTTGCTGAAGTAAAAGTCTTTTCACACTCAAAGCACATGTACTCTCTCACACCAGTATGCAGTTTCTGATGTTTTTAAAAAATTTTTAGACATGAAAAACTCTTTCCACACAAATCACTTGAACGTGGCTTCTCCTTTGTATGAACTTTCTGGTGCTTCTTCAGGACTACAGCACAAACAAACATTTTACCAAACTGATCACAAGTGAACGGTTTCTCTCTGCTGTGGATCCTTTCATGCGTTTTCAGGATTCCTGACCGACTGAATCTCTTGTCGCAGTGTGAACATTTGTGCAGTTTCACTGCAGTATGAACTCTCATGTGAACATCAAGACCATTTTTGCATGTGAAATTCTTTCCACACTGAGCGCAGGTGAAATATTTCTTGGCTCTTCTTTTCTTTAAATCTTTCTGTTTGGTTTGAGAGCAACTCAAAAGTTTTTCTCCAGTTTTGAAGTGATTTTTCTCTTCAACTTCACTCAAGTGTGAACATTTGTGCAGTTTCACTGCAGTATGAACTCTCATGTGAACATCAAGACCATTTTTGCATGTGAAATTCTTTCCACACTGAGCGCAGGTGAAATATTTCTTGGCTCTTCTTTTCTTTAAATCTTTCTGTTTGGTTTGAGAGCAACTCAAAAGTTTTTCTCCAGTTTTGAAGTGATTTTTCTCTTCAACTTCACTCAATTCTTCACTCTCCTGGTTTTTTTCAATCAGCTCTGAAATAAAAAAAGTAAAATAATTGTTCGTTTTCAGTAACTCGTAAAAAGAAAAATTAAGTGAAACCAGATGTCAAGTAGATAGTTGCTATACAAAATTTAGGTAATTCTGATGTATTTTTTTATAAACTATTACATAGGCACAATGACCTTAAAATTACTATTTTTAAAACATTATAGGCACAAATCCCATGTTTCTATAGGGAGAACTAATACATTTGTTTGATCAACTACACAATTATCTAACGTATTTTGTTGAAAAAGTGTCTCCCATTATTTGCAACTTCATCTAAATCAGTGATTTTCAAACTGGGGTACACAAAGAGACGGAGGGGGTACGCGAACAAAATTATATTGCATTCTTAAATAATATTCAACTGAGCATGTGTTTCTCACAGGAAAATCTAAGTTACAGATTTTCTCTCACTTAAAACAACTCTCAAAATAAAGTGCTCTGTGACTGGAAAGAGGAAGAAATAGTTCACTTAAAATGAGTTGCTGTATGTAACAAAACAGATGTCATTTCCCACTATGTTTATAAATGGTAATTTCCCCCCCCCCAACCTTATTAAATGAGTCATCTTTCACATCAAATTCTTAATTTGTTTCAATTAATTCAGTTAGAATAATAAGAAACAGTAGATTTGTTACCATTCAAATGAAATTAGTATTAACAAACTGTATCTTTCCACTGCTGAGCAAACAGAAGCTGCATCTGAAGTGGAATTAGATGCATTTACACAGACAGTTTGATGAGGATGAGGTGCCATAAACGCATTTACACTGCAAAATTTCAAATGCGTAAATAATTTTATACGATTTTTTATGTATTGTATTTTTATATAATGTATTTTTTAAAGGGGTCATATGATGCGATTTCATTTTTAGACATGAAAAACTCTTTCCACACAAATCACTTGAACGTGGCTTCTCCTTTGTATGAACTTTCTGGTGCTTCTTCAGGACTACAGCACAAACAAACATTTTACCAAACTGATCACAAGTGAACGGTTTCTCTCTGCTGTGGATCCTTTCATGCGTTTTCAGGATTCCTGACCGACTGAATCTCTTGTCGCAGTGTGAACATTTGTGCAGTTTCACTGCAGTATGAACTCTCATGTGAACATCAAGACCATTTTTGCATGTGAAATTCTTTCCACACTGAGCGCAGGTGAAATATTTCTTGGCTCTTCTTTTCTTTAAATCTTTCTGTTTGGTTTGAGAGCAACTCAAAAGTTTTTCTCCAGTTTTGAAGTGATTTTTCTCTTCAACTTCACTCAATTCTTCACTCTCCTGGTTTTTTTCAATCAGCTCTGAAATAAAAAAGTAAAATAATTGTTCGTTTTCAGTAACTCGTAAAAAGAAAAATTAAGTGAAACCAGATGTCAAGTAGATAGTTGCTATACAAAATTTAGGTAATTCTGATGTATTTTTTTATAAACTATTACATAGGCACAATGACCTTAAAATTACTATTTTTAAAACATTATAGGCACAAATCCCATGTTTCTATAGGGAGAACTAATACATTTGTTTGATCAACTACACAATTATCTAACGTATTTTGTTGAAAAAGTGTCTCCCATTATTTGCAACTTCATCTAAATCAGTGATTTTCAAACTGGGGTACACAAAGAGATGGAGGGGGTACGCGAACAAAATTATATTGCATTCTTAAATAATATTCAACTGAGCATGTGTTTCTCACAGGAAAATCTAAGTTACAGATTTTCTCTCACTTAAAACAACTCTCAAAATAAAGTGCTCTGTGACTGGAAAGAGGAAGAAATAGTTCACTTAAAATGAGTTGCTGTATGTAACAAAACAGATGTCATTTCCCACTATGTTTATAAATGGTAATTTCCCCCCCCCCAACCTTATTAAATGAGTCATCTTTCACATCAAATTCTTAATTTGTTTCAATTAATTCAGTTAGAATAATAAGAAACAGTAGATTTGTTACCATTCAAATGAAATTAGTATTAACAAACTGTATCTTTCCACTGCTGAGCAAACAGAAGCTGCATCTGAAGTGGAATTAGATGCATTTACACAGACAGTTTGATGAGGATGAGGTGCCATAAACGCATTTACACTGCAAAATTTCAAATGCGTAAATAATTTTATACGATTTTTTATGTATTGTATTTTTATATAATGTATTTTTTAAAGGGGTCATATGATGCGATTTCAATTTTTCCTTTCTCTTTGGAGTGTTACAAGCTCTTGGTGCATAAAGATCTGTAAAGTTGCAAAGACTAAAGTCTCAAATCCAAAGAGATATTCTTTATAAAAGTTAAGAGTTAACCACGCCTACCTAAAACGGCTCGTTCTAACATGCCCCCACATATCTATACCACTATGTGGGAAGATTTGCATAACGCTGTCCAAATGTTCACGCAAAGAAAGAAGGCGTAACTTTTATTCTCGCTGTAGTATTACTGCCGCCATGCCGTGGAGACACTGTGTGCTTCGTTGTGAAAGCGAAACTACTTTGTTTGGCCTTCCAAAAGAGGACGATATCCGCTTCGTCATGCCTAGAGCTGATCTGTGCTGGTCGCTGAGGAAATACATCAACTTAGTGCTGTGGATCGCCGGATCGGCTTTTACTGTGGATGAAGCCCGGGGTCGTCACATGTTGTTGCCACTCCTTCGTTGAATCCGCCGGGCGCACTGTTCTCGACCCCGGAATGCAATTAAAATTAGAATCATTCTCACACGAAACGACATGTTTACACAGGTTAACACGCGACTGTGAGTGTGCGCGTGGCTGTCACGTCATTGACGGTGCCACTGGCAATAAAAGGATCGGCTCGGAATCGGCAAGACATAAGATTGCCGAAAAATCGGCAGATTGCGATCACTGGCCGGTCAATCGGTGCATCTCTAAAAAATGGTAGTGCCATATTTTGTGGTCAAAAAGTGCACCTGCTGCTCACCCCAACAAACACAGAACGTTCCCATTTGGTAATTTTTTGGGAACCAAATAAGAACATTCTAGGAACATTCCCTGCAGGTTATTTTTAGGTTTTATATGTTTTATTTTTATAACCTAAAGGGAACATTCCCAGTAGGTTATCTTTAGTTGCCATAACCATGTAAACTAATTAAAACTTTGCAGATGTTTCGGATTATTCTAATGCTGAAATGTGTATTTTTTTTAATCATAAACTATTTTTGCAGAATGTGTCTGAAATAAGCTTTAAATAAAGTGTAGACAAAGTAGTCAAATCACATTATAATGATAATATAATTCCAACTTTATAGCTGAAATTAAGCCAAGGTTAAGTGTTGTCTGAAAAGCAGATCATAAACATGGGGTTTGTTTATCTTTCTTTACTGCGCGCCTCTGATCTGCACACGCTTTTCTCCTGTCTTCCACATAAAGCCGTGCACACGCATATTAAAAAAATTAACGGTCATTTCGTTTTACTGAGCGACTAGCATTGGTTTATTGATGTCTTTATTGAAGAAATACTTAGAATTAATATATACAAGAGTAAATATTGTGATTTCAGAGAGATTTGACACTTCTGATTGAAGAGAACCGAGAGGTTTTCTTTTTTTTTTCCTGACCAAAAGAGAGAAGCACATCATCGTTAATTCAGTGATAAGAAATTAATGTAATGTTATCCTACTTAAAGTCAAATAAATGTTATACATGTTTAATGTCTGGAAAAATAAAATACACATTTTTAAAACCCAATATTTGTTTAAGTCATTGTTATTTGGTGCTTAAAAGGCGTAAAATCTGGGTTATTATATTGTACATGCGAGTTATAATAAAGAACGGATAATTCAATCTAATTTAATGCTCCATATGATGGATAAATGTGCTCTGATTATCTTTAATGATTAAACAATAGTTTAAAACAAGACATGGTTTAGGTACCGATTATGGAGGGACACATCCGTCCATCTTCCATGCCACTTACTCTACGAGACGCGGAGGTGCTGGATGATTACTGACGCACAGCAGCGGTATCAGAGTAAAGAGGTTAGGAGAATGTTTCCGGAACCTACAGAGAACGTTCACAGGAGGTTCCCGGAACGTTTCCCTAACCTAAAGGGAATGTTCTATTTACATTATGAAAACTTTCCTGGCTCTTCAACAGGGAACGTTCTTGGGACCAAAAATTGTTAGCTGGGACGTGCGTCGGAGTGTAACCAGTGAGAGATGTTGTGGCAATCTCAACGCTTTGGTGCCACGGGACGTGAGCTCCATTACGAATTACAAGAGAGGGATAAAATATAAGGTGGTGTTGCCAATAGGTAAATAAATGTAGAATTGCACTGTTTGCTCACATGCATTAAACGGAGTGAAGTGAGTAATGTTGAGGCATCCGCGACTTTTACATGGGACGCGCACTCCATTATTGAATAAAAGAGAGGAAAATAATTTGAGGTAAGGTGGCAAATAGGTAGGCTTAAAAGTGTATAGAAAGAAGAGGAGGGTCGCATTGTCAATTTTAACAAGTGCATCAATTGGAGTGTCCAGCAGCAGCGAGAAATTTTTAGGCAGTTCAAAAGCATGTGGTTAATGTGTACTGTTGTGGCTCCTGCTGGTATAAAAAAAAAAAAAAAACGGTAGGCTATATTATATTGTGAAAGATGCCAGAGTGGTTAAAAAAAAAAAGAATAGAAGTTGACCCAGGTTACATTGTCTGTTTGTTTACATGCATCTCGGATTGGGAGCTGCCTCCAGGTGGCAGGTTTTGTGGCTGCTGCCTCGCAAAGATTTGTACCCTTAATGCAAATCGTGCTTTAAAAACTTGATGCCCTTCGTGCCTATGTACCTTTGCGTTCTCAGCACTTACAATACATTTACACTTACTGGCATAAAGAACAATATTGACACAGACCGATTCTCTCTCCAGAGACTCTCTCCGACACAGCCAAACATCGCAGAGTTATCATATCAAGCAAGCACAACCATCTCATTAAATGGGAATTTATTTAAATAATATATATATGATAGGTTGCATTCAAATGATGTGTTTGATAAAAGGGAGTTATTTTACAAAGGTATGACCTCGTTTAAAAAAATATATACTGTATGTTGTGACTAGTGTGAGAGAGGGGGTATGCGGAAGGATAAATGCCTGCAGGGGTATGCGACTGTAAAAAGTTTGAGAACCACTGATCTAGATTATTGAACAGTTCTAGAGATTGTTCTTATTACAACAAACAAAATCTAAATCCACTTGAAGCTTTATAATCATCAGCCTCATTAATGAAGAATTAAGACTAAACACCAACCTGTTTGTTCTTCAGTATCTTCAGTGTGTTTGATTCTGCAAGGTTCTGGATCTCCCATATTATCTCCGTCCTCTTTAATAAACTCAGTCTTTGCAGATTTCAGCTCTTCCTGATGCTTTGATGCTCGTCTTCACTTGTGAACTGATGGGAATATTACAGCATTTATTGGTGAACTGCTGAATGTGTGATTGTTGTGACAGGAGATTCACTGAACATGAATTTCTGTACGTGAAGCAGATTTGCCAAAATCATCAATAAATCAGTTAACTTATTTGTTTTTGTTTTTTACTAATTTACACATTTAAGCATTTATGTATGTGAAGCAGATGTCCTCCTAATTCTATATCTGAAGAGACCAGAGCCTTATAAATATACAGTGTTGTCTCTTTGTAAATCAATATATTACTACAGTAAAAGTAACAGCATCGACACAAAGAGCACATCAACTGAGGAAGTCGTGGCTTAATGGTTAGAGAGTCGGACTCGTAACCCAAAGGTTGCGGGTTTGAGTCTCGTACCGGCAGGAATTGTAGGTGGGGGGAGTGAATGTACAGCGCTCTCTCTCCCACCTTCAATACCACGACTGAGGTGCCCTTGAGCAAGACACCGAACCCCCAACTGCTCCCCGGGCGCCGCAGCAATGGCTGCCCACTGCTCCGGGTGTGTGTTCACTGCTGTGTGTGTGTGTGCACTTTGGATGGGATAAATGCAGAGCACTAATTCCTAGTATGGGTCACACCATACTTGGCCACATGTCACTTAATTTAAAATGCTCATTCTCATTCTGTGGTTAATTCACACATTCTCTCTCTCAAACATTTCTGCTTTCTATTGTTCACATTTCTAGCCATATTTTTTTTTCATTTTGCCCCCGTACAAACAAGATATCTGTATAAATAAATATAAAAGAATATATTCTAAATTCTTCCAAATATAGAGAGCAGTAATAATGAACAAATAAATAAATTACATAAATAAAGCATTAACACAGAAATTTGACAACACCCATCCTCATTAACTACAGGTACATAACTACATTAGAGCACATAACATCTAAAAATAGTTTGGTTTTCTAAAAACTACATTCATAGTAATAAATAAATTAACACGTTATAGTTTAACTGAAAGTGATTGTAACCTTCTATAAACAGAAAGAGTACCACAAACCAAATTTTTAATGCTTTATGCTTCACAATATTGTTAATGAAGAATTAAGAATAAACACCAACCTCTTTCTTCTTCAGTATCTTAATGCTCCACTCTTGAAGGGTTCTGGATCACTCGTGTTCTCACTGCAATCTTCAATAAACTCGATCTAGGTTTCTGTTCTTATGCCTGCTCCGAATGCATGTTTTCACTTGTAAATGATTCGAGATGCTTTGAAAACGTCTAAAATCTTTTGTTTTAAAGCAGCAGTTCGGAGCGCGTCTCTACTTTTCTTCTTCTTCTTCTTCTTGGTGTTTAATGGCGGTTGGCATACAAATTCAAGGTGCATTACCGCCACCTGCTGGTTAGGAATGTGGCCTAAGATTGCAAAACCCTTTCCTAATACCTCCTAAACACCTATATTCTTTTATCTAAATCAGTCATTTCCAGATATAACATTTAAAATCAATACATCATATGAGTTCCTTTGCAATATGCCTGTTAATTCAAACGTCATCTTAATTCTTTTCAAATTAAAAACCAGTATTCTCCTTTCACTATTATACTTTGGACATTTCATTATAACGTGTTCCACAGATTCCTCTTGATTACAATGTTCACATTTTCCTGTCTGATGTTTCCCTATTTTATTCATGGTGCTGTTAAGGGCTATAATTGATTCTTCCTTTCTATTTCTCCTTGTTATTCTACAAACCCAATTCCAAAAAAGTTGGGACACTGTACAAA